CGGCCGATAAATTAGATACAAGCTCCAGGTGAAGAGCCTTTGTGGAAAAGCAAGCAAACAGACAAAGATATGCCTTGGTGGACTTACTTCCACGTAGTCTAGTCATGGTAACATTAAAAGGGCCAGCAAAATCAACCGCGGTGTGCAAGAAAGCTTTAGCTTGACTTAAGCGTGACAAGGGTAGATCACCCATAGGAGGTTGCAACGGTTGAGGTTTTTGCTTCCAACAAGTAAGACATTTATTTAAAATCTTGCGAATAACTCTCTTTGAAGACAAAATCCAAAACTGTTGTGAGAGCAAGAATTGAACAGTTTGAACCCCTGCATGAAAATATTTGAGGTGATAATGTTCGACAATTAAATTAGTGAGATGGTGTTACTAGGCAAAATAATAGGAAACTTACGGTCAAATGGAATTGGAGCATGGCGAATCCTGCCCCCAACTCTGAGAACTCCCTTACTGTCAAGAAACGGGGTGAGGTTTTTAAGATATTTTGGGCAAAGGTTTTCACCTTTGATTTGAGAAATCTCATCAGCAAAGACTGAAGACTGAACATGCTTAACTAAAACCAAGAGGGCCTCATGCTTTTCTAAAGACGATAAGAAGGTAATTTTCCTTTGGTGCGCGAAGATTATGGATGAAACGTAATACATAAGTGAAAAAACGGTGTAGACGGGAAACAGAAGAGAAATTGGACAAAAGTTTATCCAATAGAGGAGGGGTTTTATCGTCTGACATGGTTGTCAGGACTACAACGCGCTCTTCTTTCAATGCATCGGCTGATAAGGGATTATCGGAAATTTGATTCCAGGGATGGGATCGATCTTTCAAAAAGGAAGGACCCGCCCACCATAAGGAACTGGCTAACAATTCTGAAGGTAGGAGGCCTCTGGAACCAATGTCAGCTGAGTTGTCGGCAGATGAGACATGGTGCCAACAAGAAGACATCACTCTTTCGTAGATGAAGCTTACTCTGTTGCTGACAAAAGTCTTCCACCGGTGTGGGGAGGACTTGATCCACGAAAGTGTAATGGTGGAATCAGACCATGCAAAAATGGAAAATTTAAAAGGGAGTTTGTCCTTATAGACATTAGTGACAAATTTCACAAGACGTGAAAGCAGAACGGCTGCACAAAGCTCCAACCGTGGAATGGATTGAACTTGCAGTGGGACAACTTTTGATTTTCCACAAACAAAATGAGTGGGTATGTCACCATTATTGTCAACAAAAACGAAAAATACCATTGCGGCATAACCCTTTTCGGAACTGTCACAGAAGGCATGCATTTCACAAGAATCAATATCAGTCGGAATGAGCAAACGTGGAAGTTTACACAAAGACAAACAAGAAATTTCTGATCTGTATTTATTCCATGCACGAATTATTTCATTTGGAGGTGTTTGATCCCAACCGAGTTTCAAGGACCAGAGTCTTTGAATGAGGTGCGAGGTGCTTAATGAAAAAGATGACTGGGGACAAAATACCAAGTAGGTCAAAAATTTGTGCCATATTAGACAGATAATTGCGTTTTGTACAAGGAGTATTGATGTGTTTTACAGAAAATGGAAAACAATCAGAAGCAGGTAACCATTGTAAACCTAGGATCTTGAGGGGCGAATCTGAGACAGAATTGAATAAAATATTCTCATTGGAAAGATGAGAACTGGGCAAATCGGCCAATAAACTAGGCTAGCCTTGCACCACTTACGTAACTCAAAACTTCCCTTTTGTAACATTGAAATTAGATCCTGTTGTAGCTTTTTTGCTCCGGAATTCGATGAAGCTCCGGACAAAATATCATCCACGAAAGAATTGTCGGAAACTACAGAAGCGGCATGAGGAAAATTTGACTTTTCAATCTCGGCTAATGTTAAAAGAGATTTTATTGCTGGCACTGGTTAGACCGTATGTGACGGTTAAAAGTCTGTACTCAGAAATAGATTCACTAGTTGAAAAACGCCACAAAATACGTTGATAGTCGGCGTGCGGTGGAAAAATTCTGATTTGACGAAACATTTGGCGAACGTCAGCAGTAAATACTACGCGGTGAAGTCGGAATAATAATAATAGTCCAAAAATGTCACTTTGAAGTTTGGGCCCAGGCAAAAGACACTCGTTCAAGGAAGGTTGACCTGGCAACTTCGCAGATCCATTGAATACAACTCGTAATTTCGAGGTAGGATTGGATGATTTGAAAACACAATGATGCGGGATATAATAGGTTTTTTGCGGTGACGGAACATCAATCGGAACAAGTTCCATATGATTGCAGTCAAGATAATCTTGCATAAAGGCAGAATATTCCTTATATAGACAGGAATTTTTCAGAAGTCGACGCTCTAAAGACAAAAAGTTTCGCATAGCAAGACTTCTACTATTGGGAAAAATTGGTTCGACAGTGCGAAAGGGCAATGAAATGACAAATCGGCCAGTTTCTTCTCTAGAGGTATTTTTCAAGAATATAGATTCACAAAGCTCATCCTCTGGAGCCAAAGTTTTGACAGAAGGCACCTCTTCAACTTCCCAAAAGCGGTGTATCATCTTCTCAAGCAGTGTTGCCAGGTCATATTTTGTTTTGTCAGTAGATTACCAGTCTAAATATAAGTAGAAATCAGTAAACAAATAAGTTGCCTTGTTAAAGGGGTAAACCATTAGGGTATACTCAATTAATTATTTTAACTACGTTTTTTCAAATGATTAAATCATTAGACTATGAAAACTTGCATTAGAAAATCAAACACCAATACTAGATATGAGAAATAGTTTATTAAATATTAAGATTAAGACACATGAGATATTCCTATTAAATATGCACTACCTATGGGATACTCTATATTTGATTCTATATTCTTGAAGAGTACAATTTCCCGATTCCAAAACTATATAGTTTGTCTATATTTGGTTGAGCCGGCTCCAACATATTTAGTTCTAAAAATTTTAAAAATACTATCAGAGAAACCAAGTACCTCAAATTTCACTTGCAGCTTTCACCTGAACAGGTAGAATGGTTCACAAAATCCGTAGTAGGATAGTATTTTTACGATTTTTGGAGCCGAATATATGAGAGACTGTTTAATCAAATATAGACAAACTATATATTTTTGGAATCGGGGCATTGTGCTCTTCAAGAAAATAGAATGATATATTGGGCATCCCATTTGAAAAAAGCTGAAAGCATGCAAAATTTCACATTTCTGACATTCAAATTTTGTTTTTGACCATGGTTTTTAAAAACTCAGCCAAAACTGTACAACTTTTGTATTTACACTTTTTTTCTACCTGTAAAGGTGAAGGAGGTAGGTGAGGTGTCAATATAAGGTACCTGACCCAAATAAGGCCATGTACCTAATAAGGCCAGTACCTTTTATTGCTGAATATTGAATCCCATTTTCAAAAATTACAATATATTATTGAGAAAGATATCTATACTGCAAATCAAAAATTATTGCGAGGATTCCTAGCAACTTCTTACATGTCGAAAAATGGCTAACCACAGACTTCATATGTTACGTTATACCTTTGAGGTTGGAACTTAATTAGTTTATACACATGTTCATAGAGGGAATGGAGCGAATGTAATTTTTACATGGACATTTATGTATTGAAAAAGCTACAGAGTAAGTACAGAATAATATCTTTGCTAGATTTCTAGTTACAGACTTTTTTTTATCAATGTAACATATTCCTAATAAGGCCACATGAAAAATTTTCAAGTTGCCTCACATCACAGTGTTTTTTTTTAAAGAATATGTCATATTATTACTTGAGTGATGTGTTTTAGAGCGCCTGAAACTAACCAAGCAAGAAAAGCTGCGATTCATTTGTCCTAGTTGTATGTAAATCTATTTGGATCACCATTCCAGGACTTAAAATTATTGTTTTTTTAGAATGCAGCAAGCGTTAAAACTCTATTTTGAGTACTTTTTGTCATTTTTTTTTTTTTATAAGTGATTTCATTTATTTCAAACATTTTTTATTGGTGGCCTTATTTGGAGCATAGTGATCCAAATAAGGCCAATGGTAAGGGTCTTTGTTTTACGCAAAAACCACCACTTATATGTAAAAATAAATAATTTGGGGTTAATATTCAAGTAATAGAAGCGAAACACTTCACATAATATAAGCTCGTGATTTTTGTTGGGTTTGGTGGATAGTGTTCGGAATAAATAAAACTTCTTAACATGGCCTTATTTGGGACAGGTACCTTATATAAAAACGCCCTGTACAAATAAGTGGATTATTGCGGAACTTATGGGTGAACCTTTGCGGGACGAGCGCAGCGAGTTCCGCAGCCATTTACTCTCCAATATACTGGTGAACTGTTCAAGTAAGACATTCACTTGGAACATGTAGTTCTTAAACTAATGAGAATAACTCACATTTGAGTGAGTCAGGTTAGCATCGTAAATAAACAACATATTGATGAATAGATGGCTGCGAAACTCGCTGCGCTCGTCCCGAATAACTTGTCACATTATGTTACTAGACTTTATATAATAAGTTATTGTTCAAGTACAAATAAGTGAATTATTGCGGAACTTATGGGTGGACCTCTGCGATGTATTTTTTAATTACATCATAGTATTACGGCTGAGAACAAGCCTCGACAACTACAGACCAATAAGACTACGCAATCACCCATACAAATTATATATTTGCGCAATAGTAAATCGACTAGACGCTAAATTGGACTTTTACTAGTCCTTGGAATAGGCTGGTTTCCGCTCTGGGTTCGGTACCAACGATCACCTTCCTATTTGAAAAATCGTATTTGAAATCTGTTCTTTCTATCTCGATGATTTCTCAATCGAACTGCGAAAATATGTGTAGTAAGGAAGACATATCGACTTTAATGTTTCAAGCACTTTCTTTACCAGTAACTCCACCACAGAAGTATGATTTTTCGATACCCCAAGAATGTACCCAGTGGAGAAAACGATTCAAGCGATTCATGTCAGTCTCAGGACAAAATTTAAAACAAGACGTGGAAAAGATAAGATGTATATTCTTGGAGTGAAAGCCGAAGATGTTATAGTACAGTTTGTACCGTTACCCAAAACCTACATAGCCACAGTGCAAACCTTTGAATACTATTTTATACCCTGGAGAAATCTGATTTTTGAACGTTATAAATTTAATAGTCGTGTTCAGCAACCAGAACCAGGTGAGTCTATAGAATTATCCATAACTTGTCTACATTCCCTTGCAGAACATTGTCAATATGTCTTGTTGAAGGACAAATTAATACATGATCGTATTATTGTGGGCATGTTAGATCGTAGAACCAGCGAAAGATTACAATGGCAAGCAAATTTACCATAAGCTGATTGTATTATTACGGTAAAACAAGCCGAACTCCAAGAAAAACAAAACCAGGAGTTGCGAGGTGGGTCAGTTACGATGATTTACCGGAAATAGTGAGATCTGATAATGGACCTCACTTCCCAACTGAATTTGAAAAATTTGCTTGAAATTTTGATTTTGTTCATATAACAAGGAGTCCTAATGGTTTTATTCCTGCAGAGTTATTATTTACCAGGAAGATTCGTATTCATTTTCCAATTTTAACTAAATTTCTTAATCAAATGGTTGATACAAGCCCAATTTTTCAAAGGGAAAAAAAGTATAGAGAAAACATGAGGCGAAATTATAATAGGCGTCATCGTACCAAAGAGCTCTCAGGTTTAAAGGTTAATGAAAATGTATGGCTGACTGATCTCAAAACATATGGAAAAATTATTCAAAAGCTCAAGGAACCAAAGTCTTATCTTTTCGAAACTTAGAGAGGTAATTTTTGAAGAAATAAATGGTTTTTAATAGCAAACCATCAGAACTCTGTTCCTAATAAAACTATTCCTCCTTGCAATCATAAATTCAATATAGACACCATCATTTTCCAATATAGTTGATTCTACTAACGCTAGACTGGAAAAGTCTGTTAAACAAAACCAAAATGTTGAATTTCAACCTGATGTATAATTAGATAATATTTTCAGATGATATGGCAAGTGATGAAAATAGGGGTGAGAGTGCTAGTTTTAGAATAAGTAGACCAAAGCGTCACATTAAGACACCCTTATATTTGCAAGACTATGTTACTTAAACTCAGGTGTTTTTCTTATTATAGAAGAGAGGATTTTGTATCAGAACTTGGCATGATTATATCAACCCTGCCATGTTCCTATGCCGGTTGTTAAAGTATTGTTTGGAGATGACAGAGAATGTCATTTTATTATTTAGTTTTTGTATTGGTTGCTTTTACACCGTCTTCGGTCATTTGTGAAGCTTCATTAAAAGATAAATGTCTATTTATAATAAAAGAATCCAACATAACACTGTTCATCACAGTTCTGGAACATGCTTTTAAGAAATTGCCTTGGGAGTGAAAAGGAATAATCATCAATGGGGAAAGTCCTAATAATTTCCAATTTGCAGATGATATTGTCCTAATATCACACAGTCTGGACAAACCTGAAGAATGCTCTAAGAACTTGAAAATTCCATGCAAGAAGTGGACCCAAAGATGAACTTTTCCAAAACCAAAATGATGACTAGCCATTTACTCACCAATATACTACTGAACTGTTCAAGTAAGACATTCACCTGGAACATGTAGTTTTTAAACTAATGAGAATAACTCACATTTCAGTGAGTCAGGTTAATATCGTAATAAAACAATATATTGATGAATATCTAGATGGCTGCGGAACTCGCTGCGCTCGTCCCGCAGAGGTCTACCCATAAGTTCCGCAACAATTCAGTCATTTGTACTTGAATAACTTGTCACATTATGTTACTAGTTTGGTAAAGTAACATTACTAATACCTCTTAAGAGGCGAATTGACAAAAAGTGAATAATCATATTCTTACAAATTTTGAATTTATATAATAAGTTATTGTTCAAGTACAAATAAGTGGATTATTGCAGAGCCTATGCGTGGATTTCTGCAAAACAAGCGCCACGAGTTCCGCAGCCATCTACTCACCGATATACTGTTGAACTGTTCAAGTAAGACATTCACCTGAAACATGTAGTTTTTAAACTAACGAGAATAACTCACATTTGAGTGAGTCAGGTTAATATCGTAATAAAACAACATATTGATGAATAAATGGCTCCACCAATAAATTCTGCAACAAGTCATTCATTTGTACTTGAGAATAACTTGTCACAATATATTACTAGTTTGGTAAAGTGACATTACTAATTCCTGTTGAAAGGCGAATTGACAAAAAGTGGATAATCTTACAAATTCTGACTTTATATAATAAGTTATTGTTCAAGTATAGAGTGTTTTTTTCTATATATTGACACCCCACCTACAACCTTCACCTTTACAAGTAGATGAAAGGTGTAAATACAAAAGTTGTACAGTATTGGCTAAATTTTTAGAATCCATGGTCAGAAAAAAAAATTGAATGTCAGAAATGTGGAATGTTGCCTGTTTTCAGCTTTTTTCAAAAGGGTACCTATGCAGTAGTCTTATAAAAACAGGTAAAAAGCTGCAGCTAGCCTTTACGCAACTGTCAAGACAAAAGGCAAATAAACAAGACAACAAGACAGAACACAATCACGCACGAACGCCGGGGATTCCCCAGTTAGGTTGAGTGCAGCGCCTGCACTGCGAGCGTTCGATTGTTTCAATAGAAATCACACCGGACTGATTGGAGTAATCGGGCAGACGTCGTTCAGAGAACAGTCCTAGAAGTCCTAGCCCAAAGGTCGCGTATGAAATTATTGCTGTGACATTCTCATACAAGATTTAAATTTAAAAAATATCATAAAAAGCACTTAAATAATGACAACGGCTTTTATCAGTAGAATTTACATTGATATCAGTATATCAGTAGACCAGTGGCCAAATCAGAAGATCTACTGATAAATCAGTAGACCTGGCAACACTGTTCTCAAGCGACGGTGAATCGGTGCATAGAAAAGTTTTCGAAGTAAAAGGTTGATTGGTTGAGCTGCAGGTTTTTCCCATGATCACAAACCCAAAAATGGTGTTTATGGCAACTGGGTCATTGAGGTCTCCCATCATACGACTGTTCTGGAGAATATGAGGAAACAAGTCAGCCCCTAACAAAAGATCAATTGGTCCTGGGTGATTAAAGCCAGGATCAGCAAGGTTGCAGTTGGCAATATGTGACCAAGAAGAAGTAGGAATAGAAAAGGAAGGCAAATTTCCACATATTTCAGGAATAACGACTGCTTCGAAATCAAACACAGGAGAAATCTTGTTCCAAGGACAAAGTTGAGTGCTTACGCCTGAAGAACTGTTGAGAGTTTCAATTTGTCCTAGACGTTGGACTGAGAAATGTAAATTATAGGATCGCAAAGCTAGACGTTTGACACAGGACTGAGAAATAAAATGAGATTGAGAGTCTGAGTCTAGTAAAATTCTAATTTTTTGAAAATTTCCATGGCCATCCATGATCTCTGCGACCGCAGTGGAAAGCAATACGTTTGATTGCTGCGAATTAGTCTGGGACGAAAATGCATTGCTGACTTCAGCAGTACCATTGGGTGATTGTTGGTCAGTGTTACTTGCCTGCTTTCCAAAATGCAACAAAGTGTGATGTCTTTGTTTACATTTATGACAACAATATGTAGATTGACATTTTTTTGCTGTGTGAGCACGACTTAGACAATTTATGCAGAGATTATTTGTTTTTATCAACTGATAACGCTCTGGAGGAAATTTTGACAAAAGGTCGGGGCATTTGTAAACGAGATGATTACTTTTGCATAAACAACATAAATCTTGACTTGAATTGGTTGGCAAATTGTTAGAGCTACTATTTAAAAAGTCAGATGACTTGATCAAGTTAGGAGTTTTAAAAATTTTCTTTTCTCTTCTGGCTACTGACACATTTTCTAAGGCAGCGCAATGATTATTTATATATACAAATAACTTAAAACTATTGAGTGGACGAAACATGGGGCTTTTGTAGAATCGTTATCAGATTAATTGCATTTAAGCTAAATATAACTTGAAATGCAATTCAAACCGATATGAATAATAAATTAAGTTTCGCCAGTTAAGGGCGACCTTAAACGAAAATTAAACGCTTAATCTTTGCGACAGTTTACTGCGATTACACCCTCGGGCGTAATGCTAATGTAATAACTGTGTTCACGCCACGGAGACAACAAAACCACTTTCGAGAAAACATATTTGAAATATTTAGAAAAAAATGTTATACTTAGCTATCTAGGCGAGGAGTTTTCTAAAGTTAACAAATTATAAAGGATGTTATCGTATAATTTCAAAGTTACTTTCAAGGTAAAGTGTAATCATGAAATTTTAATAAAGTTAGTAGCGTCGGGGATCTATTAGTAGTGCACTTATGTAAATTACGGTAAAGGATTTAATTTTATCAGGACCTAACAGGTGCGGGCTAGAATTAAATTATTAACGTACGATTTTTGTTAATAAATTTTCACCCTCTGACGAATTCCGTACGTAATCCTTTCAATTACATACGCACTCCCGGAGGGCTAAAAATTCACTTTGTGACACCATTAATATCGACTCCGGTGTCGGTTGACGACCTTTTTTTTTCCACGGTGCTTTATCATCTCGACAGATTTCATGTATTCGCTATAATTTACTGGCCTGATGTTTATGTTAATTTTTCGCTTCAAGAAATAGCACACTTTGTAACTCTAGAAATATTGCCTTGTACTTAATATTATTTTATGAAAATTGTACACATATTTCCAAACATTTCAGTAACAATTCTACATTTTATTGGATATATATGAACAGAGTTGGGACCTTTGCTGTAGTTCACTAGAGGGTTGTAAGGCCTCCAAGGTCCGTATCTCTGGGCGTGACGTTCAGGAATAATTCCCTGAAGATAATTAGTTACCTTTAACCAAGATAACGAGTACAAAGCTCTTAAGACGAACTTTGTGGATAATTATCACAAATGACTAATTTGCGTAATTAAATGAGTACCCAAGTAATATTGTTCAATACTAGTTTTATTATTCAAATTGGTTCCTATTTATATCGTACATTTCAACTTGAACCTTACTATATTTATCATAACTAATAACAATGAACTGTGTGTTGACTTTGTTTAGGCAGGTATCTAAAACATTGGCGCTACACTGTTTCATTACGGAAATTAAGGTGACTGACGCCGTGAATGATG